TCCTTCCCCTCCCTTCCCCCTTTCCATCCCTTCCCCTTCCCGCCCTCTACCACCCTCAACCCCCCCCCCTTCTCTTGGGCACTCACATCTCTCCATCTCTCCTTCTCTCCTCGCTCCTCTCTCCCTCCTTCGCTTCCCACCTTCATCCCACCCTCCGGCCCTCCTCCTGCCCTGACCTCTCCGCTGCACGGTGAACTTCTGCACGGCCTGGTAGTTGTGCCGGCACCTGGCCCCCGCGGCGCGCGCGTCCTCCACGATCTCCTTCTTCCTGTTCAAGTACTGGGCACTGGACCGCCCCAGCTCGGTCACCGCCTGGAACTCGCCCAGGTCGCCGTCGAAGCGCACGAACTCCTCCTGGTTGTAGATGTACCTCTGCAGGTACCGAAGGTGCGCCGACCCGTTGGAGAAGTGGCACTCGCTCTTTATCTGCTCCAAGAAACGCGCTGTGGACAGAGAGAGACAGGTCAGGGGCCTTCTCAGGAGAAGACGCGGCCAGCCACGCCCCAGCAGGGCTCCTCTAAACCCAGCAAGCGCGCAGGAGTTCTGCAGAACCAGCAGAACCTCGAGCAGCACCAGCCTGGACCCGGACGCTGCTTCCCGGCAAGGCTCCCCTCCTCCCGCTAGGCGCCGAGTCCCGAGCCCAGCCCTGGCGGGCACTGGGGCTTCCACCTGGCTCCTAGCGTCTGCTGCTGCGAGGCTCCCCGGGACTCCCCTCCGCTCAGCCTCTCCCTTTCCTTCAATAGAGCCACCTCCCTTGGTTGTAAAATCTCCCTGCTTCCTGCCCCAGATAGCCTTGTGCTGCCTCGAGGAATCCACAGGCAGAATATCAAAGTCTCCCTCCTCTCTGGACCTGAAATTAGTGCAAGTGAGGGACAGAGGCCAAACCTCGAAGAATTTACAGAGGGGTGAGAAAAGTCGGGGTGTGGCATTGTTTTCACAGAGTAGCAGGAAGATCTAAATGAGAGGAATTAATGGCAATGTGGTTTTTAAAAAAATAATATTGCTTATTTAAACAGTTCTGCATTTTTCTATTACACTTTGTATACCGTATAAAGAAATGAAGATATGCAAGTATTTATTGATTGTAATGTTCCATTTAATTATACTGAGAAAACGTTAAACAGAAACTTTAAAAACTATCATCCAAACGGATGATATTTGTGCTTATCACCTAAAGCACTTGTACATCAAAGAGAACTTCCTCATAATATAGAATAGAAAGTCAGAGAATTTGTTCCACAAAGGAACCCGCCCAGTGCCCTGCCTTTGCATCCTTTGGAGGATTTTGCGGAAAAGTGACATTGCGTTGTCATTACTGCTATAATCCATTGCCCGCACTGCTAAGGCTTGACCTGGGTGATGTTGGCTACAAAATTTGCACCGGTTGCCACACCTGCCTAATCTCACTTGAAGTGAGGGCTTTCTCTGGCTTTTTCTGCTGCTGCTTTGCAATAAGAGCTGCTCCATAACCATGTACAGTTGGGCTATGGCCACAATCTGAGAAGGGACAGGGGACATGGACTCAGTTGTGGTCAGGTGATGTTTTCCTTCAGGTACTACATGGATTATAGGACATTGTTCATTGAATCAAGTTAAACATTTTAGAACTATTTGTTTTTCTGTAGAGCACTTGCATAACTAATTACTTATAATCCAAAGTATATGTGAACATCCATGACTGGTATACGAAAGAGTTAGGAGTCAGGGCACTGCAGGGCCATTCTCCAGCACTCTGAGAGCTCACACCCAACTAGACCTCCTTCTGTAACTCCTACTGGCTGCATGCTGCGTGGGAGGGACTCTGGGAGACCCTGAAGCTGTGCAAAGCCTCCTGAATGCTGGGTTTACAGGCATGCACCACCACATCTGTCTTTCAATTCAACATTTTATGAGAGAAGTTAAATAACCCCAAGCTGTGGATTTCAATCTTCCTGCAAGAAACATATGTATGATCATTTAGGAGGCAGTGACCTCTGAGGATGTGGCTATGAATTTCACCGTGGAGGAGTGCACTTTACTGGATCCATCCCAAAAGGAGCTCTACAGAGATGTGATGAGAGAAACATTTAGGAACATGGCTGCTGTAGGTAGAGTACAGAAATCAAAGAAATGAAGAGTTGAAGAAATGCTTCCCACTAACAGCGCCCACCACTGCTCACTCTGGAATGAAGACATATGGGTTTTGGGGACTAGAAGAGAAGCTGTTTAAGTGTAGTGAATATAGAAGATCTTGCACTGATTTTCCCTGCATTCAGAAGGATACAATGACAGAGACTGGAGAGAAATCCTATGAACAGGATTAATGTGAAAAATTCAACTCAGAACTTACTGAAAGGACTCAGCTTGGATAGAGTAACTTTGCACACAGAAAAAATTAAAAGCCTTCAATACTCCCAACAATATTCAGATCCATAAAAGAAGTCACACTGGGAAGAAATTGCATGTGCATAAGCAATATGAGAAAGCTTTTGGTACACAATGTTACTGTATAAAACATGAAGGGATTCTCACTGGGGAGGAAAGCCTATGTATATAAGCAATGTGGGAACTCTCAGCATGCAAGGTTCATGTAAAGTGCACGAAAAGTTTCACACTGGAGAGAAACCCTATGCATGTAAGTGTTTGTGAGAAAGCTTTTAGTATACAGGGTTCGTGTAGAGCACATGAAAGCATTCACATTGGGGAGGAACCCTATGTATTTAAAACATGTGGGAAAGCTGTTAATATACAAAGTCATTGTAAAAAACACGAGAGAATTCACACTGGGGAGAAACTCTACAAATATAGGCAATGTGGGAAAGTTCTTAGGACACAAGATTCATGTAAAACACATAAAAGGGGCCAGGGAGATAGCTCAGTAGAATAAGTGCCTGCCTGGAAAGTGCAGTGTGCTGATTTCAATCCCTGGTACCACAAAAATAAATAAATAAATAAATAAATAAATAAATAAATAAACAAATAAATAAGAAAGTCTAAGATTTATGTAATACTTTAGTTTAAGACTTATGTAATCCTGAATCCTCAGCATGTTTTTGAAACTAGCAGTTAATTGGTAGGATTCTCACCCTGACTAACTATACATGCTGATACCTGTGAACTAAGCAACTGCACTGAGGATGGCAATGTGTAATAGAAGGGTCACGCTTGGAATGCCTGTCATTCTGGTCTTCTAAATATGTACTGCTTGTCATGTCATACCACTTACTGCCATACTGTCTCTCAAGTAAATGTTTGTTTAAAACAAAGGAAAAGGTAATAAATGAAAACAAGAGACAAGAAAAAAAAGTCATAGGACTATCCTGCTAAAATGCTATATATGGCTAGATTTCTAAATTTCTGTGTAAAAATATGTAAGTGTTTATTCCTATTTTAAAAATATTTTTAATTTTTTTCCTTCACATTCTATAGGGATTTCAAGTTTAACACATCAGTACTTGATGGAAAATGCCTGTTCCATGTTATGTCTAAGATGTGTGATATTCAGACAGATACTGAAGGTAAGCTCCACTGCCTATGTTGCAGAGTAATAATATCATGCAGCTTCTCTTCTGGAGGGTTAACAACTTAAGTTTGCAGACCAAAAACTATAGAAAAAGAAGGGCTGCAAGGACAGTCAACATTTTGGCCCTGGCCTTTGAAGGTCAGTGAGGACTTAGGACATAGGAGAATCTCTACTGTAACATCCTGTAACTCAGTTGTGTCCCAAATTTTCTGATCAAGGAGATCATGGGGCCACAGAGGAAAGTGATCGATGATGTAGAGTGTGCCTAAAGAGAGTCACCTGGAGAGAAAACATTCTCTCAGGCTTTCACAGAGAGCAGATTGGCCAAGCAATGGCCGTGACTCATCCACATGGCTGACACTGACAAAGGATCTACAAACTGCGGTACAGGATTTCAGGGTAAATCCTGAGGGGATTTGACTGACCTTGTCAGATAAAAAAGTTCCATTTCTTGTTACATAGGTCTTGCTTTATCTTGGTCTTAACCATCCAGCGGGAAAGTATAAACACAAAGTATAGAAAGTAAAGCCATATTAATATGCTGAGGTATAAAAGGCTCAAGTCAACAACTTCTAACATTGTCAGTCCTGTGGATAACTTAGTACTATTATGGACTACTGGACTATATTGGAATATTTTGCTGAATTCACACACCTACAATATTTAAATGGCAATGGAATACCCATCTCTGACAAAACTAAACAAAAAAATGGGATACAAATGAAGGACCATTTTGTATCTGTATATAAAAATAGGATGGATATACAGCTACTTTCTCTTAATTCAATGAGAAGAAAGATCTGCACTAATAGTGTTTCTGCAGGATATCATGTCTGCATCTTGTCCTATAGATAACTACATTATTCATGTTATGTCTAAGTGTAGTACGTATGTTGTCACTATGAAGACAACAATATGCAATGTATTAATTATTGAAACTATCCTACTAATTGGTTTTGAAACTGTCTTGTTGCTATTTGTTTCTTGATAAAATTAATTTAAAAAAAATAAACAAAAAGAAAAAAAGATTTCTGTAAAGCACAGGAGAGGCTTTCCCTGCAGTGAAACTATGTACACAAGCAATGTGGGAAAGCTTTTAGTACACAATATTAAGATATAACACATCAAAAGCTTCACTGAGGACAAACCCTGTGTATGTGAACAGTGTGGGAAAGCTTTTGCTATACAAAGCCATTATAAAAGACATGAGAGAATTCACTGGGGAAAAACTTTGTGTGTACGCAATGTGGGAAAGCTTTTCATACACAAAATTCACGTAAAGCTCATGAAAGCCTTCACACTGAGGAGAAGCCTTATGCACGAAAACAATGAGGGAAAAATTTTATTATGCAAGGTTCACGTAAAGCACATAAGATGCTTCACACTTGAGAGAAACATTTTTATGTAAGTAATGTGAGAATGCTTTTTGTACTCAAAGTCATTGTACAAGACATGAAAGAGTTCACACTGGGAAGAAATGTATATGTAAGCAATGAGGGAAAGCTTTCCTCACTTATATTGATAGTCAGAAACACAAAATAATCCACACTGGATAGAAAATCTGTGTATGTAAGCAATGTGGGGAAGCTTTTTAAACAAAAGCGTACTGTAAACTGCATTTTAAAAACCAAGGAGAACTATGTAAACAATATGAGAAAACTTTTTTATACAGGGTTACTGTAAATTACATGAAAGAACTCACACTGGGGAAAATCCCAGTGTACATATGCAATGTGGGAAGGCTTTTTCCATAAAAATTACATTTCAAGCACATGACAAAAGTTACATGGGAGAGAACACACACACACACACACACACACACACACATATACGCACTGTGGCAAAGCTTTTGTCACAGCTGGTAATTGTGCAGGACATAAGAGCTCACACCTGACATTGATACCGTATATGAACGTACTATGGAAAAGCATTCAGCATGCC